AAATTTATTTATAATATTATATATTTATTTAATAATATATTAATATATTATAATTATAAATTTATAATTGTAACTAATATTATTACTATAATATTATTGGTTTATGAAATAAGGTCAAGAACTGAATTTTCTAGATGAATACATATAAAAATTCTAATACTGAGTTGTCAAAAAAAATTTTTTTTTGGAGGAAACTGAGTTGTCGGTTTTTAATTGATCTGCAATACGTACTTCGTGATGCAATAAAATTTCTCCGAATCACGAACTTTATGAAATTTGGAGGAAAGGGGAAGAAGAAAGAATGTTCCTTTTGCAGCGACTTCAAGTCCTCCCCTGCATGTTGCGGACTCAGAACTAATTAAGTTTCCAAGCAATTTGTTGAACACATACACCAAGGCATCCGTCGGCAACACTGAATTCGATACACCATTATTTGAGAACAGAGCATAATACTGATTTAATTGGCATTTTGGATTTAACCCCAACTCACTTTAAAACCCTAAATGCGATCTTCAAGATTAATGAGAAGGCCTTTCCAAATCCATGTAACACATACCTAAAGGTTTTTTTAGCTGGTGCAGGCCTAACATATAGAAGGGGTACATGAACATGAACCATGCATATCACATGGTAATTTATGGTGGCATTTCCTCATTTTGAATGGCAAAAATCCTTGGTCAGCTCTCCACCTTACTCAACTCCTAAATAAGAATGTCAACGGGGTGTTGCGGGGTCGGGAAGTTCCTCCTCATCCCCATCCCTATCCCCATCCCTATTCTTACGATTCGTGAGGACAGGGATCCTCATGAGGATCTTTGATGGAAGACAGATTTTGCCCTCCATCCCCATTCCCCACTAAATAATATTTAAATATATATTTTTTACATTAAATATAAATAAAGATTAATTTAACATAAATAATTAAATCAATAAACTTGTTCCAAATATAAATAAAGATTAATCAAATATAAACTGTTCCAAACATAAACTATTCCAAATATAAAGAGAGATTAATCCAATATAAAGCAACATACTTGTTCCAAACATCAGCAAAAATAATTAATCCAACATAAATAAAATAACTAAACCAACATCCAGCATGAAGGGAGACAGCCAAAAGTCAACTCAAAACACCTTAACTCTCAAAATCCACAATTGTTCATAAAAAAACTTACAATACAATTAGTAAATACTTCATGTTAACATATTTATAGAAAAACTATTTATAGAATTGCTTATGGAGCTTGAAATGATCGATCAACACTTTGTTCTTGTGTATTAGACATTTATTACCTAAAAATAAATTAAAAAAACAATTATACCTTTACATTGAAATATAAAATAAACTTTGAACTTTTCTCTAGTTAATGGAAATTCTTCCCTTTTACAATGTCACTAGAATTCACAGTAAACTCTAAAAATTAAATAGACAACCAAGCATTCACAGTTTTCTCAATTTCTTGATTTTACTAGAAGCTACTATACTTTTTTATGTTATATGTATATCAGTATACGTAAGAAATTAACTAGGCAATTCATTAATAGAAATGGCTATGATCAGTCAACGAATCTAGCAATATCTAGAAAATCTAGACTTTCTCTATGTTAAATCAACCCATAAACAAATTATTTAAACTTGTTACTGTTTGGATCTCTAGCTTGTAGCCACAGGTGGAGTGGTGCTGCAACAGAGACAGTTCAGCAGCTCAGTAATAGTAACAGAGGCAATTCAACAGTCCACAGATTGACTTCGACTTAAACTTCGACTTTGAACAGCAACGGTGCAGCAGCGGTGCAAAAACGGTGCAGTAGGGGATTTAAGGTTTGAGATTCGTAGGGAAGGGCCAAAGAGGAAGGTCAAAGGTGACTTAGGTGAGACACATAGAGAGTCTGAGAGTGAGAGGAGGCAGAGGTAGTGTGAGAATTAGAGAAATGAATTTTATTAGGGTTAATTAGAATTAAAATGATTGGGTTGGGTTGGGTTGAAAAAAATTGGGTTAAATTTTATTGAATTAGGTTTGGGTTTGAAAATTATATTGAATTTAAAATGAGATTAATATATATATATTTTAAATTTTTTGCGGGGATGGGGATCCCCATGGGGTGGGAAAATTCCCCGTGAAATTTCATAGGGGGAAAATGACCTCGGTCCCCGCCTTGCAGGAAGGAATATTCCTCCCCGCCCCGTTCCTGTGATGAGGATCCTCGTGGGACCCTATGGGGATCGGGCAAATTGCCACCCTTACTCCTAAACTTATAATATAAAAGTTTTAACTCCTTATTTTATTGATTATAAGAGTGTCAATCTCCTAACTTACAATATGAGAATTTTAACCCTTCATATTTTTAGTTTAAATAAAAAAACTCAAAATGAATTATGAGATTGTGTACTTGTTAAATTTTGTTACTCATTGCCATGTCAGCACCTACGTGACAATTCCTTGCCATCATGTTAAGAACATAGTTTTCTATTTTTATTAGACTTGATAAAATTAGATCTAATCCAAAAATTTGACCCAACCTATTTGCTATGAATAAGGTCACGGGTTTAAACCTCTAAGGCATCAATCCAAAATCGGATATAATCTAAATCAAAATTACTTGGAACTAACTGAGTTGAGTCAGAGTTGAGTCGAGTCAACTTAAATGATCTGAGTATAGTTAATTAATTTTTTTTAATTTAAAATTTTGATGAAGTATACTTTTAATTTTAATTTTTAAGTATAAAATAAAACTAAGTACTATAAAATGATTATTATTTATTAAATTGTCAGTGTTAATATTAATTTAAAAGATTTTTTTGACTAAATAATTGATTAATATTAAAATTTTTAAAGAAAAATAGAGAAAAATTTAAAAAATTTTAATTTTAATTTTAATTTTAATTTCAATTTTTTAAAAAGTTAAGTTTACTTGATCCAATATGAGATTTTTATGGATGAGTCATGAGTTTACTTCTTTAACTTAAAATCTAAAATGACCAAACTTAAAATCTGAGGTGATCGAATCCAAACTCAATGAATTAGACCTATTTGCCAAGTTTAACTTTTATTATCCCCGATGGCAGTCCATGATGGTAAGAAATTGTCATGTTGGCACTCACATGGTAATGGGTGATGGAATTTTAACGAGTATATGATACTGCCATCCATTTTGAACTTTTTCATTTAAATTGAAAAAATTAGGGGTTAAAACTTTCATATTATAAGTTAAGGGGTTGATACTCTCATAGTCGGTAAAATAAGAGGTTAAAACTTTCATATTGTAAGTTAAGGGGCTGATACTCTCATAGTCAATAAGGTGGAGGACTGGCCAAGATTTTCACCCGTTTTGAATTGTAGAAAAATACTTTGAACAAGAAAAACAGTAAAAACGTACCTCCTAACTCTCTTTCCCCCTTTTCTCTCCCTTCTCTCTTGCTTCTGCCTCCCTTCTCCGGCACTGCGTTGTTTTTGCCCGGAAGCCTTTGAGCTTCCGGGGTTTTGATGCTTGAGCCGCCGGGCTTCCCGGCCGTTCAAGCATGTTGGAGCCGCCCTGTGCTCCCTCCTCCGACGACCATTCCGGGTCTGTCGGCTTTTGGGTACCCTTTGGTGACCCCTTTGGTTTTCTTGTTTTTTCTTGTTGTTTTGTTGTTTCTTTGTGTTCTTGTATAGTTTGTTTTTCAGATCTGGCGACCCTCGGCCCTATCTTGCAAATCTTGTTAGGTGTTCGTTGTTTTTTGGTTGGCTTGCAGATTCGGCGGTGGTCCCCTCCATCCGGCAGCTTCTAGCGGTGGCGGTGAACGCAGGGGATCCCAGATCTGGCAACCTCGCGACCCACCTGCTGCTTCCAGGGATCGGCCTCCGCCTGATCGGGTCTCCGCATCGGCATCCTGGAGCCTGGCGCACCTTCCACATGGGTAGATTGAAGGGTGTCCCGTTTGGATCGCTCGATCGAAGGCTACTGTATAGCTGCGCCCTTAGTGGTTGTTCGAGTGTCATGTGCACCTCCCTTCGGCCTCTGAAAATGGGTCTACTCTAGTTTCTTACTCCTGTTGTAATTTTACTGTTTATGATTCCTGTAGATGCCGTGTGGCGGTGTTTGAAATGAACCCATTTCGTTCTGTTCAAAAAAAAAAAAAAAAAAAAAAAAGAAAAACAGTAATGCTGTTGAGCGAGAATGCGACTGAGAAGTGACAACCACGCACGTGGCACATGGGACGGTGATGGCCACACCCACACGCATTGCCCTGTGTAAGAAAATCAAGGTTAAATGCTTATTTTGGTCCCTCAACTTTATTAATTTGCACATTTTTAACCCTGAAAGTATTTTATGCACTTTTTTAATCCCTTAACTCTAAAAAATGCATAATATTGGTCCCTCTGTCAATTATTTGTGACATGATAGTTAAAAAATTCCACAGTGGCATTTTTAAAAATTTTTTTTTTATGACATGGCAATAACACATCATATAATTTGATTACATGTACAAATAAAAACGCCAACTCACATACCAAATTAGATTAGCATTTATATTTTTAATAAAAAAATAAAAAACTACAAATTTACCTTAATACCCCTATCTCCTTTTCTTGATCCATCTTCTTCCTTTCTTTCTTCTTTTTCTTTCTTCTTCTTCTTCCTCTATGTTGTTGGGTTCCCTTAAACCCAATTGATCT